AATAAAAAAAACCTGAGGCATTATTAAGAAGGGAAACTAATAGAAAAGTAATCAAGAAAACAGTAAACAACGATTGAAATTCCATATGAATTTCTGAAGATCAAAATTGAAAGAATAAAACATTCTTTGTTATTCACATATAAGACTGTAAATAAAAAGAGAACGATAGAATTGTCTGAATGTTTAGCTACTAGAAGAATCACTTCTTTTACTTTATATGTCCTTTCCAGGTTAAAAAATAATGTCTACTTAAACGACTCACATCTACAATGTAATATATTCAGTACCTCGGCACTGCCAAAAGAGATCCCAGTTAGCGCAATCAAAACAATTCTTGCTTCATATCCAGTAGTATAGCGTGGCTGAAGGAAGATTAAATGTCACGACTGGTTTAATCTATATAGCAACGTGACTCTACTAAAAAGGGTCATGGTTAGCGTGATTATAGGATACTTCCTTCATCTTCGCTAACATATTAGGATTGAGGAATATAAAGTATCCAGACAAACGTAATAAATTCAGTAACATGGTTAAACCGAAAAGGTTCATCGCTCTTATCAGCAAACGTTATATTACTTCATATTCAGTCAGATGACGTGATTAAAGCAATACATAATAGACTACAGGGTTGGAAGGGCCCAACTGACATCAGTTACGTTTTGTTAGTTTTGTGTATCGTTTTAGTTTCTTACTGGGTTCATCTTCCCCCCCTTTTCATTTCATTCATCCGTAAATTTGTAATTGTACATATATAATCATTATATTTTTATGGCATGGGGCGCGTTTTGTAGGATGCGGTATTATGGTGTATGGAGGATTGATTGGTGACGGACGAGTTTTTATGGTGAATGTGGAAATTGTAATGTATGAATGGGTCGTGAATCGAACTAGCTAAGACAGTTAGTGATGACCAGCCTCCCCCCCCGCATTTCGGCCTTCTACCATAATTATGTAATGTTTGCACAATAAATATCGAAACTGTAAACGGTACCGAAGGTGGTATAATGATTTTTTAAGCGTTGCTTAGATATGGCACTAGTCCTAAAGTTGGGGGGGGGGCACCCAGTGAGGATAGAACTCACTATTCAGTTGTAATTGACCTAGCGAGACAAGCTTGTTAACCATTACAACACGTCAAAGTGCCCAACCGAAGGCTGGTATACGTATTTGACGAGGGATCATTCGCAGAACCTTCATACATAGGAACATATTCGATCTTTTTCTGTTGTCGGATGTTGAGAAATAAGGAGATCGCTTTCCTTTACCGACAGAGATAATTTTAATTTAGGAGACTACTTCTGTTCCCTGAAATCCGAAGGTGCATTAATTTAGCAAAAGATGCCTTCCAAATGCTAAGCAAAGTATTAAGAAACAAGGACATTTCATTAGAAACAATGAAAAAAATTCATAACTAATACATAATATCAACCCTACTATACGGCAGAGAATGCAGGAAATCTCACAGATGAAGAAGGGATTTCAAGGAACAGAAACGTGGTTCTACAGAAGAATGCTGAGTATACACTTGGTCGAACATTTAACATTCGAGAAAATTGAAAAGAAATGGTTCTTGTACATAACATCAGAAGTAATCAGGCGAAATTTCTAGAGGGCATGAAAGCAACGAGGAGTTGGAAATTTAATAATCACTGGACAGATTGATAGCAAGGGGAGGGGACTGTGGAAAATAACGCATTACCTAACTAGAAATCTTGAGTAAATGAATGGCAGAAATAGAGGCGGCAGGATTTAGTAAGGATAACCAAAATACAGATTTTTTTTTAAGGACAGGAAATAGGGGAGAGCCATCCTGAGCTGACAAAGTACATGGAATAAGAAAACTTTGATTTATCTTCTTCGCTTCGTCCAGCATCAGATGACGAGTGTTACCAAACGCAGGACAGAAACTGCAGTAATGTTGTCCAGGTTTTAATTAGAAGCGAAAAGAAAAGTACGACGATAGACTGTAACTGGAAAGAAAACTAATAATAATATGAAGATTTTGAGCTTTAAAAAAGCTCTAAACAAAAGCTTGGAAGTAAAATTCCATCAGTACTGATAACTACCATCTTTAAAAAAAATTACATGCAACATCAATCACTATCATTTGTTGCATTTACTTTCTTTAGGAGTAGATAGGCTTTCTTACTGCCAGGTCCATATTATTCGCACTTGTAATGAACAGGTATAGAGGTTGATCCCTTGTTTAACTGTTTAGGAAAACGTTCCTGGTCTCTCTCGTTTACTGAAGCCTTATTAGGGATGCTCTCATGAATTTCTTGTAATATTCGTGGTTGATGTCAAAGTCTTGTTGCGGACCCGGCAGCGTGCAGTGCTGGTTTATTACAAAGTGGCCTGCGCCAGACACCACACTAAACTACCGAGTCCACAAGCAATGTAAAAAAAAAAAAAAAAAATGCGTGAATGAACAGTGAGAGGAAAGGGGTCAATCAACGAGTGCATAAATTAATAAACATCGAAGAGATAGCCGAAATAAAATGACAAAGACGTCTGTTTGCAAAACATGTGTAACTTTAATTAGATGGAAACAAGGAGATCTGGAAAAAAAGATGAACAAGGCGGGAAAAAGAGTTTTATAAGGTTCTGGAAAAAGGATGTGCGCACAGATAGAAAGGAGTACTCACTGTGGATTTTTTTGGCGTTGAGAGTGATGTTATACATATTTTTAAGGTACTGGTTCAAAGCAGATTAGAGTCCAATGATTTGAGAGTGTATGTGATTTTGTGTTTTTTCTTTTGTGTTCAGGTTCAAAGTAGTTCGGTCAGGTCTTGAATTAACTGTTGAGAATTTTACCGGATTGCTGTGGGCATCTAGCCAGGAGAAACGAAGAATGTTTGAAGCGAGTTTCATGGTCTTGTGGAGTTGTTTACGGCGAGCCCAGAGAGACGAAAAATGTTTGTTCGAAGGTAATAATATCCCTGTCTGTATTTACTGGTTCACTGACGAGGGGTAAGTGTAAGTCACCTGTTGAATACGAAGTTTTGCCCATGACTGTGTCGTGTGTCTCGAACGTTTTCTAGCAGAAAACGGAGAAGGTCTGACGTGCGGATAGCAAGTTGTTCGTCAGTAGGATATCCCTGTCTGTATTTACTGGTTCACTGACGAGGGATAAAAATAAGCCATTAGTTGAATACGAAGTTTTGCTCACGACTGTGTCGTGTGTCTCGAACGTCTTCTGGTCGAAAACGGAGAAGGTCTGACCTGCGGGCAGCTTCAAGACGAGAAGAAGTCTTGGTAGAGTGTGAAGTCGACATTGTTGAGATAAGATATTCCGGCCCGCATATGGGTTAAGGGAACGGAATAAATGAGTTGCCCGTCTAGTTAGGTCGAAAGTCGGAAGGCAACTGGCTTGCAAACGCTGGCCGTTTGAGACGCCGCGAAACGCGCGGGAAAAAATTCAAAATCTGTTAGTCTGACTTCATCAGGAGGAGCTAGCGAAGTTCTTCCTCAGCTCACTGCTACGTCTAGCTGTGAGAGGAAGGAAGGGGTGAAAACCGCGCGCACACACGCACGAGTGTGAAAGGAAGGGAGGAAACTCTCACGGGCGTAAAATATAGATGGAATTAATGTGTTAATTCCATAGTCTCTTCATACTGAGGGTAGCGGGTTGGCAGTTTTCTCTTTGCTGTTCCCGGCAGATAGGAGCCCGAACTCTTGAATGGTGTCTTGAGGAGCTGTTTTGATCAACAGTTGCATAATATTAGTCTTTTTGCACTGCCATGTTGCACATGGGCGGGTGTCGTTGCAAGCACCTCCAGTGGGGAACATAGTGGCTACATTATGTTGTAGTCTGCGCCTGTCTACTTCTGCACATGTTACATTTGATGACCGACTACTATTATTACCAGAAGGAATCAGTTGAAATGTCAAGAGCACATTATATTGGAAATGTTCTGTATTTGGAAAGGAAACTAATAATATTATCAAGACCTTTCAGAAAGCCTTAAACAAAAGGCTTGGAAGTAAAATTACATCAGTACTAGAAAGAGCTATAACGGTTAGTCAACTTTACAGGTCTAAGAATTAATATATTTCAACCTGGATTAACTGCTCGATCAATAAACGCCCTATATTTGTATGGAAGTGTTCAATCTCAACATTACCATTACCACGCCTACAGACGATTATTAGCCGTTGTACAAGATTCAATTATACAGAGTTTGTGACACTACAGAATTGTATCCAGAAGAAATCTATCCAATAATTTTGTTGTCACGAGCATACAACCTCCCTTGGATAGATTTCTAACACGCGAAATTTATTTTTTATACGGATAGTTTGTATATAAGCATTTAAGTAGAATCTATAAAAACCTGTAGAACGCGACAATATTTTTGTACGGACGAAAACATAGCCACTGGAGCAGAAAATGTATTATAATTCGCAATACACATTCATTACTGCAGTCATCATGTGTGGCGTTTATCATTCGCGGGAAAATATGTAGAAAATGTCTGAAGGCCGATAAAAGAGAGGCAAAATGAGCAAATGCATACGTTACTCTCGACATTAATGTTCTTCTGCGACCTGAGGACACGGGTCAGTTTTAAATGAAACAGTTCATTGTCAAAGTAAAAAAAACAAAATGGCCGCCGTATTTGTAAAATTCTAAGATTGAGAGCAACTGATCAGTACAGCAAGAACTTTTGCTTATTTGAGTTTCGTAAATGCTTAGTCTTCAAAAGGATACTGAGAATTCCATGGTATAAAATAAAATTTTAACACAAAGAAAAGTTATATTGAAAATTAGGAAGGAAATGACTGCTAAAATTCCTTGGAAACATAATGAGGGAAGAGAGCTTAGAAAAACCTAATCCGCCCGGGAAATACTGAGGACAACGAAGTTAAGGGAAGACATCAAGCAATTGATTTGATGGGCTTTTGGTTAGGGATGGCAGAACATAAATAGGGGGTCTCAGAAACAGAAAATGACTGCTAAGAGCCACACGAGTTAGAAATTTGTAGAGAGATATGACCGCTTATGTCTTGAATGGATGTGGTGCAAAGAAAACGAAGAAAATGAAGAAAGAAAATAAGCAGAAGAAATGAAGAAATGAAAAAGAAAAAGAAGAAAATAAAGAAAAGAAAAAGAATACAAGAAGAAGAAAAAAGAGAAAAAGACGTAGAAGAAAGGAAAAGAAAACAAGAAGACAACTGAGAAGGAAAATAAGAAGAAAAAGAAAGAAGTAAAAAGAAGAAGAAATGAAGAAAAGAAAAAGAAAAATAAAAAGGAGAAGAAAAGAAAAAGAATACAAGAAGAAGAAAAAGAAAAAAGAGAAAAAGACGTAGAAGAAAGGAAAAGAAAACAAGAAGACAACTGAGAAGGAAAATAAGAAAAAGAAGAAGAAATGAAGAAAAGAAAAAGAAAAATAAAAAGGAGAAGAAAAGAAAAAGAATACAAGAAGAAGAAAAAGAAAAAAGAGAAAAAGAAGAAGAAAAAGAAAGGAAAAGAAAACGAAGAAAACTGAGAAGGAAAATAAGAAGAAAAAGAAAGAAGTAAAAAGAAGAAATGAAGAAAAGAAAAAGAAAAATAAAAAGGAGAAGAAAAGAAAAAGAATACAAGAAGAAAAAAGAAAAAAGAGAAAAAGAAGAAGAAGAAAGGAAAAGAAAACAAGAAGATAACTGAGAAGGAAAATAAGAAGAAAAAGAAAGTAAAAAGAAGAAGAAATAAAAGAAAGAAGAAAAAAAAAGGAGAAGAAAAAAAAGAATACAAGAAGAAAAAAAAAAAAGAAAAAGAAGAAGAAGAAGAAAGGAAAAGAAAACAAAAAAATTCCAACTGAGAAGGAAAATAAGAAAAAAAAAAGAAAAGTAAAAAAAAAAGAAAAATGAAGAAAAAAAAAGAAAAATAAAAAAACAGAAGAAAAGAATACAAGAAGAATAAAAAGAAAAAAGAGAAAAAGACGTAGAAGAAAGGAAAAGAAAACAAGAAGACAACTGAGAAGGAAAATAAGAAGAAAAAGAAAGAAGTAAAAAGAAGAAGAAATGAAGAAAAGAAAAAGAAAAAGAAAAAGGAGAAGAAAAGAATACAAGAAGAAGAAAAAGAAAAAAGAGAAAAAGAAGAAGAAGAAGAAAGGAAAAGAAAACAAGAAGAAAACTGAGAAGGAAAATAAGAAGAAAAAGAAAGAAGTAAAAAGAAAAATAAAAAGGAGAAGAGCGTGAAGAAAGAAAAAATGAAGAAGAAAGATAAGATAAAGGAGCAGAAATACAGAAGAAAAAGAAAAAGTAGAAAAGAAGAAATGAAAGATAAAATTAAAAAAAGGGGAAAAGAAAAATAAGAAAATGAAGAAAAATAAAAAAAGAAGAAGAAAAAAAGAAGAAAAAAAAATGAGAAGAATAGTCAGCCATCATTCTTTTGTCCATTCCTCTTTGTCCCATAATTTTAATGTCTTTCAGGAATCTGTTAGCTGGTTCATCAGTAATATTAGTCAAATTAAAATGCATCGCTGTCAAACTCAAGTTTATATCTCAAAGCGTTTATTCAGACAATGTAAAGTGATTATATCTAAGGACTTTATAATGTTTCCATTCCTAACTTAGGACAATACAACGACACAATCGTTATCATCATGTAATATCAAAATATAAAACCAGGTGTTTCAGCAATGTATCTAATAACATTCATTTTTTTTTTTCATTTAATATTCTTTTTACAGAAGGCTTTCAAAATGGATTTGAATATTATAGGAAGTAAACAATCATTTTACTTCTCAAGTGATGTACAGTAAAATGTCACGCTAACCAGTGAAAATTACTTTTAGACTCAGCGTCCTGAAATTAATTAAAACAAAGTATAAATTAGCTTTCACCAAATCATTTTTATATCTGTGATAACAGTTTCCATCCGCATGTTATAAAGATTTTGCACTTTTTCATTTTTTTTTCTCTTTTTGACTACTGGCTAGAGATCGGCTCACACATTTTTTAAGAGTAAGTATGCCGACTTATACTAAATTTAAAGTTTGTGTTTTATATCATATTTACTTTTTTTACCCCACACATGCACAGGTATACATGCATATTTTTGCAGGGACACCTGAGGCCCTCAGCTCGGCTCTCCAGATCAGTTTTCTAAAAGAAACGCGTCCTTTGTAATAATTTATCTAGAAGTCAAACCCTGATTTGTTAATTTTTCTTCTTTTTTAAATTAGGGTAGATAGGCTTTCCTATCGCCAGGTTCATACTCCTCCCACTTTTTTTGAACTGGGGTAGCGGCTCATCCCTTGTTTCCTGTTTAGGAAGGTGTTACCGGTTCCTTTCCATCGGCCCTTAATTGTGGTGCTGTCATAATTTTTTTTCGTGATATGCGTGGATGGTGTAAACGTCTCTTCATATTTAGAATCCCAGGTTGGTAGTTTTCTGGTTGCTGTTTCTGACTGGTAGTTAGGGGCCGAAATCTTGTTTAGCGTCTTTAGGGGCCGCTCTGATCAACAGTTGCATAATATCGGGGTTCTTGCAGTTCCATGTTGCGCATAGAAGGGTGACCTTGCGAGCATAACCCCGAGGCCACACTATGTTGCAATATATACCTGTGCCTTTTGCACATGTTACATTTAATGACTGACTGCTACTAAGCCTTTTCCATACCAATATAGCTTACCTTACCATCATAGCAATAAACAACCAAAGATATAAACCCAAACCAGCTTAGCAAATATCACCTAAACCCCTTAACTCTTCCTACTCCAACATTCATGTTATTCGTACCGACTTCTGCAGTATGGAATCATTCCTCTTTGAAAAGTCCCCGGAAATCTTAGCTCTCTGCAAAACTAACTTTAACTCGTCAATCCTTTCCTCTGATTTCTCGATTGTTGACTACCTTCTATTTGGAAAGGACTTAAGTCCGCATGCATGACCTGGGAATTTATGTCCATGAACAACTTCCGGTGGCTGGGGAACTCTAGACCATTTGTACATGTGTCTTCGTCTGTTTTTACATAATTCAGTCAGCTATCTCTGCTTTCTCTACCGTTACCCCTTCCTCTAGAGACTGTTGCGTTCTAGATATTATTTCGAATAATATAGACAAGGCCATCTTCCTACAGTCCTTCGAAAACCTATTTGTTTTCGGTGACATTAATGCCTACTATATCAGGTGGCTTAAACACTGTCAGTGATCTCACTGGCATCCAAACCCTTAACTTTCAATCGCTTAATCTCTCACGCAAGTTTTCCTATTAACCCTGACGGACACGCTTCTTCTCGATCTTTTATCTCTATTCCTGATCCTTGCCAGTTCTGATCACGCTAACCTTTCTGTTATCTACGAGAAGACTGGGACTCCTTCCGTGATTTAATTCGTGACGTCTCTTGGAATGTAGTTTCTAAACAGCCCGTTCAAAATTTCGCGTCTGAGGTCTTCTCTTGGGTAAAAGCCAGGATCTTTCAGTTCCCTGGTTCTCACCTGCTTTGCTCGGCTGCTATAGTTGACAGGAATCACTTCTTTCGATTGTACCAGAGCGGCATGCCTGATTGAAAGAGACGTCTCTCTGTCTCTGATCGTAACGAGTACAAGCCTGTCCTCAATGAAGAAAACTTACTGCCTGCGTATAGACTTTCGCAAGTTTGGATCTAGAGATTATTGGCGGCTCTGCAACTGTGTGTGCCGAATAACTGCAAGTCCTCAATTCATCCTCTATTCAATTAATTCGAAGCCTTAACATCTAGAGTTGATAAGGCTGAATGCTTCGCTCGGGAATGCTGATCCAATTAAATACTTGACACATCTGGAGTACCCACTTCTGATCCCCGCCTAGAATTAGCAAGTGGAGTTGACGGTATACCAGCCGCCGTCAAAAAAATGGTGCTGGCTCCAATTATCGCCAAACTCTACGACTATTGCCTCACTGCATCCTGCTTTCCAGTTTGTTAGAAGTCCCCATCTGTAGTTCCAGTTTTTAAGAACGATGAAGAATCTTCTGACCCCTCTAAATACCGCCTTATCAGTTTCCTACCCCTTTTTGGCAAATTCTTCGAGGCTATAAGCAATGTCAAAGTGGATAAGTATTTTTTCCTCTTACGGCCTACTCTCTGACAAACAATATGGATTCCATAACGCTGACGTGCTTACAGCCATAACTGAATATGTATATGTTGTGGTAGGATCCACCTAATTTGCATAGTGGAGTACCGACCATATAAATATGGTTGGTACCGGGAAGACGGTGGGAGGAATCAAGAGATTCAATCCAGAGACTCTGCCCGACTGCGACTAAGTCAAGACATTCTCCAGGAACGGTCTTCCCAAGAATATACAAAAGACTATATGTAAATATTGTGTACACTTTCTTGTTTCAATACATTTTGTTCTGAGTACATTTTGTGTTGTATTATTATTCCATGCATTAGTCAAGTTTCAACAGTATATTATGCTCTTGATAACAACGGGGAAGCTCGGGCTGTGGCTCTAGATATCTTGAAGGCGTTTGACAGCATTTGGAATGCTGTTATTCTACGTAATCTTAAAGGTTACAGTATTACATGACGATTATTTGATTTAATCATATTCTTCCTATCAAATCGTAAAAAGAAATCGTTCTGAACGGGTTCTCTTCTAGGCTCTTTCATAAGAACGCGGGTGTTCCCCAAGGCTCTATCCTAGGCACTACACTGTTTCTGATCTTTATCAATGATCTTTCTGATGACAGCAGTTCCCAAGTAGGCATCTATGCAGACGACACTATTATTTACACTTGTCTCAGTAGTAAGTCTGGCATTGCTGACTAAGCTCTTGGAAATGATCACCAGTGGCTAACCGGGGTAGGAAATGGCTTGTAAATTTTAATGGCTCCAAAATAAAACACATTTCATTTAACCACCACAGTGAAAGCTCTCTGCTTACCATCGGCATGGTCGATGCTTGTCACCGTGAGAGCCTCTCTCGGCGCCTTCACGGTTTCACGGTTTCAACTGACTTGAGGTGGAACAACTGCATTGAATCAATAGCTGCATCTACTGCAAGGAAATTTGGTTTACTGTGTCGTGCCAGAAAAAAAAAGTTTACTTTCTGAGTCCATCTTACACATGTATAAATCAACCATTCATCCGTGCATTGAATACTGTGGTCATATCTGGTATGGAGCCCATGCTGTTCATCTCGAGGTTCTTCACATAATCCAAAGAAGGGTAGGCAGTTTAATAGCTTCTGACTTGACATATCGGCTTCAGTCACGTAATGCAGATTTTCTACAAAAATTTTCATGGCAACTGCTCTGACGAGTTTTTTTTTCCATGGTGTCCCGACTACATAAAGTTAAGCGTGCTATAAGATTGGCATCTAGGTCCCAGCCTTTTATTGTTGAAATAGTTAAATAAAACCGGCACTTCTACTCCAATAGTTTCCTTTCCCGTACTTCCCAAAAGTGTAACTCCCTTCCTCTTACTTGCTTCACTGATAACTACAATTTTAATTAAATGAAGAATTTAATGCAACGCCAATCGCCTATCATTTGTTGCATGTATTTTCTTTTGTAATTACCCAGGTTCATACTCTTCACACTATTAAACAGGGTTCCGTCATCCATTTAAACATATTCGTCAGGTAGTTAATTCGCTGTCTTCATTGATCTTAGTTCTCCAATTTCAAAATACGAGCCATTATCTCTACACCAAACAAACATCCAAGCTGAAAGCATCTGGTATTCCCAAGGATTAAGAAATCGTTCCCGGTTCCTCTCACTTGCTCAGGCCTTAATAGTGGCGCTGTCATGAAATTTTTGTGATGTGAGTGGTTGGTGGCAACGTCTCTTCATACTCATGGCAGCGGGTTGCTGTTCCTGACTGGTAGTTAGTTGCTCAAACTCTTGATTATCTTCTTCAGGGGCTGTTCTGATCAACAGTTGCATAATATTAGTCTTTTTGCACTGCCATGTTGCGCCCAGACGGGTGTCGTTGCAAGCATCTCCAGTGGGCAACATAGTGGCCACATTATGTTGTAGTCTGCGCTTGTCTATTTCTGCACATGTTACATTTGATGACCGACTGCTATTATTGCCAGAAGGAAGCAGTTGAAATGTCAAGAGCATGTTCTGTATTTGGAAAGGAAACTAATAATATTATCAAGACATTTCAGAAAGCCTTAGACAAAAGGCTTGG